AAGATTTTCAAAATAAAGCTAAATATTTCAAAAGTATGAAGTTTTGAAAAATTCTAAATAGAAGCATGAATGTCCTTGAAGAGCTGAACATTCTGATAGCTGAAATAGCTGAAAGTATTCTGAAGCTGAATTTTCCCATTCATTTGAATGGGCAAAATTTTGCTGAAAGACACTAAAGTATTTAAAAAGTATAAAGGTTAGAAACAAGAAAAATAATAGCATAAATGTCCTTAAAAAGTCGATACCTAAACGGTTTTCATAGCTGAAAATATGCTGAAAAAATTAAGTGCCAAAAAACGGATGGAAGAAACCAGAATAATAAAGACCAGGATAACATAGTATGGATGGTTTTCAGCATCCATCCATCCATCCATTTTCTTCCGCTTATCCGGAGCCGGGTCGCGGGGGGAGCAGTCTAAGCAAAGATGCCCATACATACAGCATCCATACAATAATAATAATAATAATGAATAGGGTAACATAGTGTGGGTGCTTCGCATCCACACAATAAATAAACAACAGGAGAGCATAGTGTGGATGTTTTACAGCATCCACACAAAAATGTGGCTGTCATTATTATAGCAGGAAGCCTAGTTTACAGTGTTGGCAAATTGGCAGCGTTAGCTGAGGCGCCACGTTATAGCCATCTCCCAATACGCTGTTTTATAAACACCAAAATACGCTTAATTCTCCATGATACACAAAAAAGGTTCCACACAGTTTTTACAAATAATAAGCCTAACGATAATGCTGACCTGCAAAGTTGGAAGAATAGTTGACAGACGTGTTTAAAACTTTTAAACTTTATAAAAAGTCATCAACTCACCACTTTGACTTTTCCCAGAAAAATCACTTTATCCTTTCACAGTCACACCGTGCACGTATTAAACGTAATGCATTCCAGTCTTCGACACGACTGTAAAAACATTAAAATAAATCCAGTTTAAAGCACTGCTCTTCTAACTTCACTCTTCTCGATGCAAACTGACTCCATCCATGAAAAACCTTTACCTCCTCTCCGTAGCTGATTGGCGGACAAGTGGCCTTGGGAATGCTGCGATTGGCTAAATATGACGTCAATCAATTTCCCAAAGTAGGCTCGGATGGAATCGGACAGAGGAGCTCCACGTGACATATGAGGTGGAGCCCCCTCGAAACAGCTGTACTACGGTGATGATGCTGAATCAAAGTTTGGCTTAACTGAGTGTCTTGCTTACGAAAGACATGCTGCTTTCCTATGAACATATGTATGTGTTATTGCCTAGGTTTTGAAATACTGTGAACAGACTAAGTGACGTTAGGTTAAATAAATAAATAAATAAAAACGTTTCTATAAACTCTGTGAACAAACTTTTATTCGGCTTCATTTAGGAAACAAAACTGAAACCAAACTATCATACATTGTCTGGGTGTAGTCCAGAGATTATTTCTTTGCTGCCACCTACAGGCGGATGTTTTATTGTACAGAATTAATACATTTTAGGTATAAACAAAACCAATGTAAACAACTGTGCTAAATTTATAATACAACTCAATTTTATGAATTTCCATACATAAACAGCACACAGAATGGCACAGAAATTACTGTATACAGGAAATACCCCCACACCATCTCATAATGTATTTCTATGCTATATCACAACAAATGAAATGCAATATTAACCAATATTACTTACAATCAATATCATAGTAAGAAATTTACATATATTTTTAACCTAATGAAAATACTTAGACATTTTTAGATTTCCTTGTTTGTAAATTTTGTGATTGAAGTTATGAAGTGCACACAAACATTTAAAAACCGAGAGCTTATTAACATAATCAAATATGAGCTATGGTGGCAGCGCTGTAACAGCCACCATAGTGAGAAATGTGAGACATTACAAAAGAATGATGTGAACGTCTTCAGTAGAGCAACAATTTAAAAAAAATGAGCCCATTGACTGGAAAAACAAACAAAAAAAATGTTTTTAAAACTTTGATGTGGCTTTAGCAGAAATTACTACCTACTTATTAAAACATCTCAAATGTTTTAGCTGACTGTACAGACACTAATATATCAAAATTCTAGGAGAAAGTATGCCCGACTCATGTTTGAGAGGTTACACTTGCATGTTGCTACTTTGTGCTGTCATGTAATTGCAGCTTTTAATTTGCACTTAATGTTTGAACCTAACTTGCATCTAATGTTTTATCCATGTATGTTTTACCTATTTGTGTGTTAAGCACTTAGACTTGCCACTGTGTATGAAAATGTGCTATACTAATAAACTTGGTTCGCCTTGAATTTTAATTACTTAAATTTTAAATACTTTTTAAATTACATAACACCAAAAAAAATCATCATTAAAATGTTGCATGGTATATTTTGTATCACCACTGCTTTACTTTTACTACAATACATGTCCATCCTGGACAACAGAGCCCTTGTGGAACAGACCAGCCCTGAGCTATTCTACCTCAATAAAGACTACTCTGTCAGGGCCCCTTCTTTCATGACCTTGATAAATATTTTCCATTCTACCAAGAAAAAAACAAAACAAAAAACTAGCCATTCAAAATCACCAATGTGACCCATGACCTGACTGATGTAATTCTCTAATTCTTAGCAATGACTAAGCTACAGAACCTCATTTTTCAGTGTAACTCAATTTTCTTGTATATGCCATGGAATCAATGCTGAATATCTACACCTACACCTCTCACGTCTTGACCGATCAACTAGACTTCTCTATCAATCTATCGAGATAACTGTGGGCAGACAAAAAAGGTCTACTGCAATACCACTTCAAGTATGGCAGGCTGCCCCTCCTTATTAATACTGTTGGTGTAAAGTAGCTTCAAAAAGTTCAGACTCCTTAAATATCTTTTACAATGTGTGGTGTTCCTTCAAACTTTGAGAAAACTTAAAGCAATTAACTCTTTTAGGAGGAAAAAACTGCTTATAAACAAAATCTTAACATATAAATGGTTGTACTTTTGAATAGGCCTTCCAAGATCTGCTGCTAATTGACCATATACGACTGGTAGAGTGGATATTTCTCAACATAGGACCCTGAAGGTGAAATAAATAAACAGGGCCTCAATCTCCTGCCTCATACAACATACTTTAAAAAAGACACTGTATGGACACTGGTGTTTAAAATTTCCAGAAGAAAGTAGGCTCACCTCCAGTGTTCAAGTGCTCAGAGGTTAGTCTTGGAAAGACTGAAGTAAAGGGGTACAAAGTATGATGAGGATGGTGAGAATCCACAATCAGCGACTGCTACACTACTTGTACTAGGTATCTACACTTGCATGTTGCTACTTTGTGCTGTCATACAATTGCTGCTTTTAATTTGCACCTAATGTATGAACCTAAGTTGCATCTAACTTTCAGGAGTTTCTTTTAAAATAGCAAAGTTCACCTTTAGTGCAGGGGATGTATATACATATATACAGTAAGAGCATACAGTGACTCTGCAAAGTTTTCAGACCCTTTCAAGTTATCCACATTTCATGTTTCAGATCTTTAAATTCATTTTCTTTTTCTCATCAATCTACACACAATACTCCAACGATAAAGTTAAAACAGGTTTGTGGAGGGTTTTGTAAATTTATTAATAAAAGACTGAAATGTCCAAATTATAAAAGTCTTCAGACCCTTGATTTAGTACTTGGTTAAAGCACCTTTGACAGCAATGACAGCCTCAAATGAGAATGAAGCTACGACCTTGGCACCTTTCTCTTGGAATTTTCTTCCATTCTTCTTAGCACATTTGTTGAAGGTCAGCCAGACTGGAGGTGGAGTGTCGTTGCACAGCCATCAGGTCTCTCCAGAGATGCTCTATTGGGTTCAAGTCCAGACTCTGGCTGGGCCACTTCAGGACTTTCACAGAGTTTTCCCAAAGCCACTCCTGTGTTTTATTGGTGTTATGCTTCAGGTCAATGTCTTGTTGAAGTGTAAACCTTCACCCCAGCCTGAGATCCTGAGCACTCTGCACAAGACTTTCATTCAGAATTACTCTATGTTTCTCTGCATCCATCATTACCTCTATCCTGCCTAGTCTCCCAGTCCCAGATGCAGAAAAACATCCCCACAGCCTGATGCTGCCACCACCGTGTTATTAGTGAGGTGATGCTCAGTGCCTGGTTTTCTCCACTCTGTTGGGAATTGTGGCTACATAGATCAATCTTTGTTTCATCAGAGTCCTTCAGGTGCCCTTTGGCAAACTCTCAGCAGGCTACCATGAGACCTTACATACACTGGTGTGTGCCTTTCCTAATTATATCCAAGACATTAAATTAGGCACAGGTGGACTCTAATCAAGCTGTAGAAGCATCTCAATGACCACTGATAGAGGTAGGATGCCAAAAAGAACTGAAACAATGTAAAGATGAGTCTGAAACAACAAAATGTCGAAAACTTGAAAGGGTCTGAAAACTTTCTGTAGTGACTGTAAATCTTAAAAATATCCATCTTACTATTATCACTCTAAAAGTCACTTCATTAAGAGAAAGAAAAACAAGTACAAAAATATGGCCTCATTAGGAATAAGAAATGACCTCCTTAGTACTGTTCAGCTGGCGTGGGGTTTGACAGAAACCTCAGAGGGACCATTTAAGGGTGCCGGCTTGTTACCAAAGTTCCAGTCCACAGGGTTGAGCAGTTGCATGGTCTTTTTGTGCGTCCAGATGGGGTTGATGATAAATGTGAGCAGAGCGAGGCCTGTAAAGTAGAGTAGGCGTGGGGGCAGGGCCATGTGGGTGTTGAGCTCTCCCCAGTTGGTCAAGGATACCCACCACATGTAGTAGGTGAGCACCATGCGGCAGTGAAACATGTGGATCATCACCCACTGGTTCACTCTCCAGAACAGGGTGTGTGCCCAGCCGGCCTGTCAGGTTACAACAAAGACAGAGAATAATTGCTAAGGATTGGGACACAAATGGCTTGGTAGACAACATTCTCTAGAGAATGAAAAGTGTGTTTTATTACATTGTAATGTCATTTTATGTACTCTACATCTCTAACGTATGTGTAGTCGAGTCAAATCTTTGGGGAGGAGTAACAGTGAAAGTTTACAATACCGACACAATCATTCTATAGAACTTCCTCTTTTTGAGAATGCTAAATTTGATGTGGTGATAGTCACGAGGAGCACAAGTCATATGAGGAGGTAAAACCTTGTGATATTTAGATGGTAGCTGATAAGAATCTGTAAGAAAAAGATGATCAACCAGCAGTAATAAACTTAACAGTAGCCCTAAGACTCCGCTGCAATAACTGAACTTACCAAAGAAAAGTGAATTAGCTACAATTTCTATGTGATGTGATGAGAAAAGTGTATTGTGTATGGAGAAAAGTGTTGACAGGTAGTTTTATTCAACACAAAGGCATTACAAGGCCCCTACCTTCAGTAACATCCAAGATATACAGGTAAATGGTGTGCTCATCTCTAGCAGAAGTGTGACCATGGGCAGGAAGTGGCCCAGGGAATCCCACACCACAGCCCCTGCATATCCTGACAGGGCGAAGAAATGGTGCGTTGCCAGTGGGAGGTCAAATGACCAAAATACCACACTTGAGGCATGAAAAGCTAGATTCTCAAACATAAAAAACCCAGTGGCTGTGAGGATATTAAACCACGACCAGTCTTCTTGTCCCCTCAATCTGTCTCTGTTTAACACAGAGTCCCCAGTCAGGGCCCAAAGACCAGCTACAGTACTCTGGATGCCAAATACTGCCCGAGTGGCTGCTAGATTCCAGAAAACCTTCTCCTTAGCTAGCAGGGAGTTATAGGTGCAGGACAGAGCTATAGACAGGAGGTGTGAGAGGAAGAATGTTGCTGCGTAGAAACCAAACCCAATGCCAATAAGCTGAAGGCGATAGTCCAATGAGAAGTATTCTGCACTAGGCAGAGGAAGAGGGCTGGTCTGCTGGTCAGGATCCATGAGAGGATACTGGAGCTCACCTGCAGGAAGGGCTGTTGGCAGGGGCTGGTGCATGCATGGTGTGTGGGTTCCCTGCAAAACAGTGAGCTGTTAAGGAAAAAACGGACACTGCATAAATTACATATCGTATACGTTAACGCTCGGTAAACGGTCCTTAAAAGGCTTTGTTTTGTTTTTCAGGTTGTGTTGCATTAGTGGACCCTAACGTTTCAGGTTGTAAAGTTATTCAATTCGACACCAGATCGGAAGTATCATTTCATCTATGTATGCACTTTTCTTAAATCCTTCAAAATCATGATGAGTCACTGTCAAGTTTAAACCTCTAAAATTAGCACAAACAGCAAAAGATAGGGCTAAATCAAACTAACAAAATACTAAAGGTACAGCAGTGAAAGCTACTCGGTACAGACTAACACATACCATATAACAGGGTTGCCATTAACCACAGCTTCTCGTTGTTAACAGAACAAGAAAATTCACATCATACGACTTCTATTTGGTCATGTGACCCGGAAAAGGAAGTCACGCCTCTACTGTAATTCTGGGCATCCGATTGGTCAACACTGCTTAGATCAAGAAACCTACTGGCTCTTAAAATGATCAGAATGTGCATTATGACTGGTTTGGTTTTAGTTTATACCACTGTATAAAAATATTGAATATACAAAAACTTTAGCACAGATTCGGGTCACGTCTAAATACAAACATCCATACTTTTTAAATGTGTTGTTTGAGGCAAAATGTGTGTGGTGTTAGATAATAATTTATAATAATTTATTTGTATATATAGCGCTTTACAACACCGAAGGGAGCTCAAAGTGCGTCACAACAGAGCATATAAACAACAAAAGAAAAGTTAAAATTACACAAATTTAAAACTGTGGTCTGTGTGCAACTATAACACTCCTGCACAATAAAAATGAGTCGAAGTACAAACAAAATAAGATTACAGAATATAAAATCCGAAAGGAAATCAGCGTGTACAGGAGACCCAGCTGGAACAGGAGTTGTGGACATGGGGATACTCTGCCTGATAGACAGAACTTTATCAATGAAGTACTGTTGGAACATACTGCAGGTATGTACAGACACCTCGTTGAACGCAGTAGAGACAGGATTAATCACAGAATTTATAGTGTTAAAAAATTCTAGGATGGTGGCTATTGTTAGAGATGATATTGGATAAATATTGAGCTTTAGCCTCTTCTATGGCCAGGGAGACATGCAGTTCATCCTTCCATTTACGCTCGGCCCGCCTGCAGAATCTCCTCAAGGCACGGGTGGTATCATTTAGCCAAGGGTCAGCTGTGCTCTTGGCAGACTTCTCCCTAAATGGGGCAATGGAGTCCAAGATCCAGGAGCATGTAGAGTGGAAGGCAGACAGGAAATTGTCCGGGCACAAAGGGGACTTCAGACCTTCTGAAAAGTGGAAGTCAGAGTCTAAAAAAGCAGCAGCGAAGTCAGTGGGCATTGAAGGAGTAATGGTCCAGCGGCGATGATGTAAGGCAGTGGGCCTGAGTGCAGGAGGAGGCACTCGGACCTCAAACCAGATAGAAAAATGGTCAGAGATCACCAAGTCTGATACGTTCTTGACACACACAGGCAGTCCATGTGAGGTGACCAGATCCAGCGTGCGTCCTTGTCGATGGGTGGGACAGAGTACTGACTGGGTGAGATCCAAGGATTCCAACAGATCATTAAAGTCCTTTGCCAGCTGATCAGAGGTGCAGTGGATGTGTGAAAGATAATATGTAATAAAATGTATTCAGCTACAAGTTGCATAGGATTAAAACATAACTGCCACAGTACATTGTACTATTTAAATAGATATAAAAGTGTTATATATGATTAAGCTGGATGATTATAGTGTATTATTATGATTAAATAAAGATAATATTATGAGAGCTGGATTTAACTGCTATAAGTTTTACCAAAAAGGACAAGACTAAAATTCCATTCACTGAATTGAATGCAACCCTGCGCATTCATTATGTGCAGGGTTGCCAGAGATGGTTCAACCAGGAGCACCCTGGGCAGGTTGCCTTGGTGATAACACAAATTGATAGAGACAGATAATTACAAATAACTGCTGAAAGAAACCCCCAAGAACTCTAAACACAAAGGGGCTGGATCAGGTGGAAGCCAGGACCTTGTTACAATATAAAATTATATACAGTATATAAAGGAAGTAAAATGCACTGAGAGATCCAATTACACCAGCCCATGGATTTCATTCTTTGTCCAGCAGGGGGTAATCTTTCCTTGAGTTCTTGTTATTGTATGAAACAGAATAAGGACATTCAATTTAAATTACATACATTTTTGATAGATAGGGCCCAGTCAACCATGGGTTTTAGTACATCCTCCTAAAATGAACAAATAAAAATAAATAAATAAAAGCACAACTTCCTTATTAGACTAATGATTGGAATCTGACTTTAGGTTTAACAGTAAAGTCATGATATATTGCAGCAACCATCATATTATTGCAATCAGCCCTACAACCTGTAGAAGTGTAAGTATTAAGAATGTTCAGAATTTAAAATAATATCAGACATGGTTATTTGACAAATGAGCCACATATGGCAATGCTGTCAATGAAATCAGTGTGGCTTAAATGCACATTGTTTTGTCCTGAATTAGATTCAAACCACATTTTTAAGTGAATCAATTCTAAGAATTCTCCTCACACAAATACTTTCAGATATTAATCATTCTTTTCTGATTTCATTCAGTATATAACATTCTATCCATGATAAACTGTAAATGTTAAGTCACAGGTGATCTTCTTGACTCACTTAACCAAGAACAGTATGAAGTAAGTGCACCAGCCTCTTTGACAGATGACTCAGAGCTGCCCTTCATCTTTATCTTATTGCTACTTTGGTTGGCGGGCTGCATACAGATATAAAATGCATGAAATTTCAAGAACAATTTGATAAATGGATAAATTCATTGCTCCTTCCTCCTGTGAGCTAAAAGCTGAACACTGAGAACACTGTTATTAGCAGAAGCATTGAATGGCTGTTGTTTTTGCATCTCTGCTTTGGTGACAATTGTAGGCCGGTGTCAGACATAATGAAATATAATCTTTAAGACTGTAGATAAATTCACAACATTATAAAAAAAGTCACAATAGCAGAGAGTAACTTACAAAAGTTAAAGTTTCTTTAAAAGCAAACAGACACCATTTGGACAAATTTTACAAACATTTTCTCCAAAAATTTTATTGCAGAACTATTTACACTGGATGACCTCAGCAATGATTGAACTACTCAAAGAGGCAAAAAATAGTTCAGCTAGGAAAGAATGGTAGGAAATGCATGTGTTGTCCCAATAATACAAAAATGCTCAGTGATATGGTAACTTGCACCGAAATAATGCACATTGAGAAATACAACTTAAATAAATACATAACAAACATACATTAATGGGGCAGTGCCATAATTTATAACAAAATGAATAAATAGACCTACATTCAGAATCTATATTTCACATGCCATCAAATCAGCTAATAAAGTAACAATAATAAAATAAAAATGACAACAAAACATGAGCAAGAGCAGAAAATAGTTGTTTCAATGATGCATATATTATATATATATATA